AGCCTAAGCTTCAAACAAAGTTGCCCAATATTCCTAAAATACATCTTGCTTTTTCTCATTTCTGTGGCTCATATGATCATATCCATTGTTTATTGGAAATGCTTCTCTTTAATTATTATTATTATTATTGAAACGGAGTCTTGCTCTGTTGCCCAGGCTTGGAGTGCAGTGGCATGATCCTGGCTCACTGCAACCTGTGCCTCCTAGGTTCAAGTGATTCTCCTGCCTCAGCCTCCTGAGTAGCTGAGATTACGTTACAGGTGCCTGCCACCATGCCTGGCTAATTTTTGTTGTATTTTTAGTAGAGATGGAGTTTTACCGTGTTTGCCAGGCTGGTCGCCAATTCCTGACCTCAAGTGACCCGCCCACCTCTGCTTCCCAAAGTGCTGGGATTACAGGTGTGAGCTACTGTGCCTGGCCTAATGCTACCCTTTAATCAAGTTTTTCCTGACCATTTCTTCCCTCCCCCACAGAATTTTTGCTCTCCCCTCTCAATCATCAGAACACTTTATTCTCTTTTGGCTCTTAACACTGTTGCTTTGTATCAAAAAGTATTCATACTTTTGGTCTTAATTTTATGTCTGCACTGTTCAATACAATAACTGTTACCTACATGGGACTGTTTAAGTTAATTAAACTAAAAATGCAGTTACCATATTTGGATAGTACAGACATACATTTTCATCTTTTTTTTTTTTTTTTTTTTTTTTGGAGACAGTGTCTTGCTTTGTTGTATAGGCTGGACTGCAGTGATATAATTGTAGGTCGCTGCAGCCTTGACCTCCTGGACTCAAGTGGCCTTCTCAAGTAGCTGGATCCCAGGTGTGTGCCACCACATCCAGCTAATCTTTTTACTTTTTGTAGACGCAGGGTCTTGCCATATCGCCAGGGCTTGTTTCCATCTTTTCACACAGTTCTGTTGGACAGCGCTTTTCTAGGTTGTAAAACTCAGAAGAGATTGTTTTGTTTTCTCTGTGGCCTTTGTGTAGTGCTTTGTTTTGTTTTCTCTGTGGCCTTTGTGTAGTGCTTTGCTTAACTGGAATTCAATTAAGAAAATAAAAATTAGCTCCTGGCACAGAACAAAGAAATAACATTTAGGAAATTGTTTACTTCTTTTTTTTTTTTTTTTTTTTGAGACGGAGTTCGTTCGCTCTTGTTACCCAGGCTGGAGTGCAATGGCGCGATCTCGGCTCACCGCAACCTCCGCCTCCTGGGTTCAGGCAATTCTCCTGCCTCAGCCTCCTGAGTAGCCTGGGATTACAGGCACGTGTCACCATGCCCACCTAATTTTTTTGTATTTTTAGTAGAGACGGGGTTTCACCATGTTGACTAGGATGGTCTCGATCTCTCGACCTTGTGATCCGCCCTCCTCGGCCTCCCAAAGTGCTGAGATTACAGGCTTGAGCCACCGCGCCCGGCCCAATTGTTTGCTTCTTGAGAGATAATAGTTGGACCAGAGAAGTAGATGAAATGTTTGCAGACCTCAGTTTCTCTGTTGCAGATCCACCAAGCATGGGTTAAAGTACAGGGGAATAGGGATTGGCAAGTGCCGGTTTATTTATTCCTAAGCTAATAGGGTAAAACACATAGTTGATTCTCCTGCTTGCCTGCTAGGCCTTCATATACTTGTATTCTCACTACTCTGAACCGCAGGCCTGCACTGTCTGGTGTAGTAACCCCTAGCCACGTGTGACTGCTTATATTGAACTTAAGTAAAGCTAAAAGATCAAATCTCACATTGGCCTCATTTTTCAGGTGCTCAGTGCTTTTGGCAGCTGGTTGCTGTAGGGGACAACACAGATAGAGGGGGACATAGTCATTGTGCAAAGTTTAGTCGGTCAGTGCTCGTCAAGACCTGTCACTTAGCTGTAGTTGTGAATGGCATGACAAATTTGGCATTTGGCTTTTGTTTAGAAGTTTCAAAACATTAGACAGTTGTTCAGGTAATGAATGTTTTAGTTACTAATATTGCCAGTTTATTCTCAATTAAATCCAGAACTTCCTGTTACAGAGGATAAGGATGTGACCTAGTATTTTCTTCTTGGTACAGGATTGCTTGGTTGTGAATATTCTAAATGAGTCAGATGAGCTGAAAATTTGAAGTGATTTCTTTTTGTATTTTGTCTTTGTAACGGATTTGTACACCTAGAGTGTTCTGAAAGGCATTTGTTTTTTAGAAAGCCAGTAGGTAGTTGTACCTATTTTGTACACAGATGTTGTTATTAGTGCTGGAGATAACTGCCTTTCAGTAGAACCAAGTGCATGTTCTCTGCTTGCTTTGGCTACATTCTAAATGGAGATGTGGGGAAGGCAGACATAAAACGTACATTTTGTGTTTTGTTACTTGGAAGCTTGCTATATTGCCCAGGCTGAGCTTGAACTCCTGACTTCAAGCGATCCTCCCACTTTGGCCTTCCAAAGTGCTGCGAATACAGGCATGAGCCACTGTACTCAGCCTAAAAATAGAGCTTTTTAAAGAGCAGTTTTAGGTTCACAGCAAAACTGAGTAGAAGGTACAGAGAGTTCCCATTTACCCCTACCCCCACACATGCTCTTTTTAATCTTAAAGATCACCTTAATCTTTTTTTTTTTTTTTTTTTAAAGATGGGGTTTCACCATAATGGCCAGGCTGGTCTTGAACTCCTGACCTCAGGTGATCCATCCACCTTGGCCTCCCAAAGTGCTAGGATTACAGGTGTGAGCCACCGCGCCCGGCCGATAGCCTTAATCTTTAACCACATACATCAGTGAATGATATACATGGCATTTTAGGAGGCTGGGGTGGGAGGATCACTTGAACTCAGGAGTTCAAGACCAGCCTGAGCAATGTGGCAAGACTGCCTCTACTAAAAATGGAATAATAAAAATGTGCCACACATGTGATGCACACCTGTAGTCCTGGTTACTCTGGAGGCTGAGGTGGGAAGATCACTTGAGCTTGAGTGATCACGTCTGCAGTGAGCTGTGAGTGACAGAGTGAGACCCTGTCAAATAAATGAATGAATGAATGTAAAGAATGCACTCAATGATAAAATTCAGAGGTGCTTACTAGAGAATTGAATGGAAATCAATTCCTAACAATACTTCTTTTGGGGAAGGGATAGAGTCCTTATTGTTGCTGTACAAGTTCTTGAACTTCCAGGAAAAAGATTTATGAATGATAAAACATTGAATGGGTTAATAGAGTTGCTAGGCTGTAACCAGTTTGTCTTTTTTAGGGAAAAAAAAATTTAACAAGTTTTTAAAGAAATACAGGAAACTAGAGTGGCATGGTGGCACACACTTGTAGTTCCATCGACTCAGGAAGCTGAGCCCAGGAGTTTGAAAGCAGCTGGGGTAACATGATGAAACCTTGTCTCTATTTTTTAAAAAAAAAAAGGCTGGGCACGGTGGCTCACCAGCACTTTGGGAGGCCAAGGCGGGAGCAGATCACCAGAGATCAGGAATTCGAGACCAGCCTGACCAACATAGTGAAAACCTGTCTCTACTAAAAATACAAAAAAATTGTCCAGGCGTCGTGGCGGGAGCCCGTAATCCCAGCTACTCGGGAGGCTAAGGCAGGAGAATCGGTTGAACCTGGGAGGTGGAGATTGCAGTGAGCTGAGATCCCACCATTGCACTCCAGCCTTGGCAACAAGAGCAAAACTCTGTCTGAAAAAAAAAAAAAAAACTTAGCCAGTTATGGTAGCACCACGCCTGTAGTCTCAGCTAGTAGGGAGGCTTAGGTGGGGTAATCACTTGATCCTAGGAGGTCAAGGCTGCAGTGAGCTGAGATTGTACCACTGTACGCCAGCCTGGGCAACAGAGCACGACACTGTCTTGTGTTGGGGCGGGGAAGAAATACAGTCCCAGCTCTTTTTGGGAGGACGAGGTGAGCAGATCACAAGGTGAAGAGATCGAGACTATCCTGGCCAACAAGGTGAAACCTTGTCTCTACTAAAAATACAAAAATAAGCTGGATGTGGTGGCATGTACCTGTAGTCCCACCTACTCGAGAGGCTGTGGCAGGAGAATCACTTGAACCTGGAAAGTGAAGGTTGCAGTGAGCCAAGATTGTACCACTGCTCTCCAGTCTGGAGACAGAGTGAGATTCTGTCTCCAAAAAAAAAGAAAAAGAAAAGATACATAGGAAACTGCAAAAGGAACACTAAATCCACTCCCATCTAGAGTCAGTCACTGTTCATATTTTTATTTATTTCGTTTGAGACTTTTTTCTGTTTGTGCTGGGATGCACATCCCTATACACATAGGCGTGAATTTGGTATCATACTGTGTAATGCAGGAGGCAGTATAATACCCTACTTTTCTTTCATTTAACTTTTATTAATTGTTTTTAAACATTTTTTGAAAAGCAGCTGCACTAGATGTTTCATGCTCTGGATATATCTTGGTTAACTTAACTATCCCTCTCTGTTAGAGCAACATTTTGGTTACTTGTTTTCTTTTGCTGCTTTTTTTGAGACAAAGTCTTGCTATGTTGCTCAGGTTGGAGTGCAGTGGCATGAGCTCAGCTCACTGCAGTCTCTGCCTCCTGGATTCAAGTGATTCTCCTGCCTCAGCCTCCCAGATAACTGAGATTACAGGTGCGTGCCACCACACCTGGCTAATTTTTGTATTTTTAGGAGAAACAGGGTTTCAGCATGTTGGCCAGGCTGGTCTCAAATTCCAGACTTCAGGTGATCTGCCCACCTTGGCCTCCCACAGTGCTGGGATTATAGGCCTGAGCCACTGCAGCTGGCCTTTCCCCTTGTTTTTAGTGAGAATATAGCTAACAGTTTTCCCTCTTGGCTTCTGATGGACTGAAGAGAACTGTGAAGGGAAGTTTATAATGTCCTGGTTGGGCACCCCTTTTGTTTTCTCTGCTGGTTGGGGCAGCATGAAATGCATTGTTTTATAGCAGCCTAGAGAAAGGACTCTAGCTACTGGCTCATTTGGAACTGGTACTGGAGAAAAATCTGAGAACAAAAGTGCTTGGCTAAATCCCTTTTTTTTTCTTTTAGTTTTTGAAATCATGAATCCTGTTTATAGTCCTGGATCTTCTGGGGTTCCCTATGCAAATGCCAAAGGAATTGGTTATCCAGGTAAGTAAAATTTTGTTTTCATTCTTGAACTTTGAATACTTGGTATATGTTCATGTCACTAAGAATGCTTTCTGTTGACAAATGCAACTCAGAGTAGCTTAGACAAGTAAAAAATGTATGGAAGTAAAAAATCAAATGATAGGACTGGATTTGGTCAAAACTTGATCTGGTGACTCTAGCAGTTGGGACCAGGATCTAGTTTCTCTGCCTCTGGTCTCAGCTTCACTTCCTCAGTATTGACTGAGTGTTGGTCACAGGCTACACTCCTTCTTGCAGTCTCTGAAGTTCAGGCTCCTCCTAACATTCCCTCACTAAGAGCCTCTTTATCTCTACCCTTTAGGAAAGGCTGGTGGGACTGTTTGTTCCCTATTCAAACCAGTCCTGGGGTTGGTTCTGATTAAACTGTGTCGTTCTGATTAAACTCTGTGTCCATCCCTGGGCCACTAAGGGGAGTCTGTTGATTGACATAGGCCTGATCCACATCCCTTTAGTGGAGTCAAATATGGGCTGCAAGTGACAGTTGCAACGAAGTGGATATTGGGGGAATATGAGCTAGTTGGTCAAAAATAGAAAATGATTGTTCCCTTTGGTGACTTTGTACAGGAATAGTTATTTGTAATGTTACAATTTCATTTTGGGTTTTGATAATATGATAGAAGAGACAGCCCTAAAACTTTGAGGCTACAAGACTCAGAAAATGAAATACAACATTTTACAAATGTATAACTAAACTTATAGGAGGTAAGAGAAATATCTGAAGTCAAATGTGAAAGGCAAGTTAAAGCTAGCTCATTTGGCCTTTGAACTAATGACGTGCCTTTCCCTGGAGACATGTGCTATTTGTGGATTTTAACAACCCACATGGGGAGAGTGAGTGAGTCCTAGGACCCTTGCGATGGGGAATGGGAGTGAGACTTCTTATCAATCATTCTTGTCCCTCTGGAGGGTGATACTGCCAGCAAAGAGGTAAACTAAACAGTCTAGTGATCCACTGTCCCCATAAGGAAGTTTGTATGCTTGGGCTCTGAGAAAGGGGAGATCTTTACTATGACTTGGTAAGCATTCAGGGGTGTTTGGGGCTCTAGCTTGTTTTACTTACACTCCCCAAGGGGTTCGGAAGTTGAGAAATTAACGTAAAAATGGTATCCGGTCTTCATTACACCTGGAGTACCTGACACTGCTTCCATTTTGAGGCATTCTTTTGCCAAGTGTATTTGTTTTTCGTGGCTTCTGTAACAAGTAACCACAAATTTGGTGGGCTAAGGCAATAGAGATGGATCTCAGAGGTCTGAAATCAAGGCGTTGACAGGTCTGTACTCCCAGTGCAGACCCCAGAGGAAAATCCATTCCTTCCCTCTTCTAGTTTCGGGTAGCTGTCTGTAATCTTTAGCATGTGGCTTTGTGGTTGTATTACTCCCATTTCTGCCTGCATGGTCACATCCTCTCCTGTGTGTTTGTTTGTTTGTTTGTTTGTTTTGAGATGAATTCTCACTGTCACCGAGGCTGGAGTGTAGTGGCCCAATCTTGGCTCACTGCAACCTCCACCTCCCTAGTTGAAGTGATCATCCTGCCTCAGCCTCCCATGTACCTGGGATTACAGGCGTATGCCACCACACCTGGCTAATTTTTTTTTTTTGAGACAGAGTCTTGCTCTGTCGCCCAGGCTGGACTGCAGTGGCACGATCTCTGCTCACTGCAGCCTCTGCCTCCCGGTTTCAAGCGATCCTCTTGCCTCAGCTTCCTGAGTAGCTGGGATTATGGGCACATGCTACCACACCCAGCTAATTTTTGTATTTTTAGTAGAGATGGGATTTTACCATGTTGGTCAGGCTGGTCTTGAACTCCTGACCTTGTGATCTGCCTGCCTTTGCCATCCAAAGTACTGGGACTACAGCCATGCGCCACCACACCCAGCTAATTTTTGTATTTTTAGTAGAGATGGGGGTTTCACCATGTTGAGCATGCTTGTCTCAAACTCCTGACCTCAGGTGATCTGCCAACCTTGACTTCCCAAAGTGTTGAGATTACAGGTGTGTGCCACTGTGTCTGGCCCTGTGTGTTTTAAGAACACTTGTCATTGGATTTCCGGCCTACCTGGGCCGTCCGGGATTCCAGAATGACCTCATCCTGAGATCCTTCACTTTATTGCATCTGTGAAGATTATTTTCCCAAATAAGGTCACATTATTTTCTCTCAGCACTTTAAAGATAAAATTGTATTTGTCATCTGGTTTCTGTAAAAATAATTTTCTTTTTTGAGACGGGGTCTTGCTTTGTCACTCAGGCTGCAGTGCCATGGTGTAATCACAGCTCACTGCAACCCCAACTCCTTGGACTCAAGGGATCCTCCTGCCTCAGCCTCCCAAGTTGCTGGGACTACCTGTGTGTACTACCTTGTAGCTGGTGTAATTTTTTTATTTTAATTTTTGTAGAGATCGGGTCTCATTATGTTGCCCAGGCTGATATATAAAACTCCTGTGCTCAAGTGATCATCCCACCTTAGCCTCCCAAAGTGCTAGATTACAGGCATCAGCCACTGTGCCCAGCCCAGAATAATTTTTGCCTCTTTTAAATTGAGTTTCTTCTCTACCTTTCCCCCAGCCCCTGTGCACCCTGATACTTTAAAAATATCTTGGCTTTTACCATGATGCAACTAGATGTGATTTTCTTTGTATTTACCTTGCTGTTCAGAGAACTTCTTGACTCTGAGTTGATTTCTTCTAGCAATAGCAGTAGCTGTTCAAATACTGTTTTTTCCCTTTCTCTCCTCTCCTGGAACTCCATCTGTAACTGTATTAGACCATGCCAGTCTGTCCTTCCTGTCTCTTGCACCCTGTTTTACAGTTTATTTTTTTCTACATGAGCTTTAAAACAAGTTTTTACTGATCTGCTTCCATTTCACTCCTCCTGCTAATTCTACTCTAATTTGCTATATAATTCATGTATTGAATCAAATCTTTTTATGTATTTTCTCCATCTTCTGTTTTTTCCAACATACTACTGAGTTATTTTAAAAAACTGCTGACTACAGTCTCTAGATCACCTGTGCATCAGTTTTTATTGTCCAAATGTTCTTTCGTTTTTCTCACATGTGGTCCTGTCTTGGCATGCCTGGTGTTTTTCATTGACTGTCCCACAAAGTGTATTAGAAATTAGGGTAGTCTTACTGATGATGTCTTTTTTGCTGGCAAGGTAGCATGCTGAATGGCCTTCGTCATTCACTTGGGAGCTGGGGTTAGATGCGTTTCAGTTTTGGCAAGGCTCAGTCTCCCTTTGTTTTATCTTGGAGTGAGGGTTTCCATCAGCCTGGCATGCTCTGCAGAGTCCATCCTTCTTGTGGATCGGTACTCTGATCTTTGTCTCTTCACACCAGGTGAGTAAGGAAAACTGCATTTCAGAGATTTTTGTTTTTTGGTGTCTGCTGGGGTAGCTTTAGAATTTGACATATGTCTTAAAGCGGATTTTAGCTGGTTTTGAAGCTCCTCTAAGGTCCAGTTTTATCACTGCAGCCCTTCAGGATCACCAAAACCCATGTTTTTCTGTCCTCCAGCCATGGCCTTCTGTCCAGGGAGAACCTAGATTTGGCCTCTTGCCTGTGCTGAGAATTGACGAGTACCCTCCAGGTCAACGAGGCTGTGTATCCTAATTTCTCCCTGTACCACAAATGGTAGTGGACACTGGGATGGAGTTAGGAATGCAAACATTTTTGGGGGCAGCCACTTAGGAAAAGTCCAGCAGGGAGGAAACAGAATTGGGGAGAGCCTCAGACTATGAGGCACATTTGCCAAACCCACGGCCAGCCCGCCGGGTGCTCTGGGGCAAGGGTTAGCAGTTGGAGGCCCACATGAGGCACCAGCGGCCTGGTGCTGCTGCTGAAACTGTCAGCCCACATACTTCTGGCTGAACAGCAGGTTTTTTTCTGGAAAAGAGATGCAGGTGGTGTTGCTCACTTTGCTTTGTTGCTTACTGTTTGCTGGGAATCACTCCATACCAGTTCACAGAGGTTTGCCTTGTTCTTTTGTTTTAATGCGATAGTGCTACATATCCTCCATCTTGTGGGCTTCCATAGTTGATTCAGCCAGTTTCCTTGTGACGCGCATTGGGGTTGTTTGAAGTGAGTGCTGTTTCGGTAATGATGCTGTGAACAGCGCTGTTTGTGCAGACTCTGTGGGAATTCTCCTCACGGTGGATTCCTAGAGCTGGGCTTGCTGGGTCAGAGAGCAAATGCACACGTGGTTGTTAGGATACTGCTGAGTTCTCGTCTGGATGTGAGGCGATTTCCCCACAGCCTGACTAACAGAATGTGTTGTCCAGCTTTGGATTTCTGCTAGTCTGAAGGGAGTCAATGTAGTTGTAGTTTGCAGTTCTGTCTATTGATTTGGGGGACAGGGTTGTTTGTCTTTCTAGTTTTAAAAGTTACTTACATATTAATTATACTAGCCCTTTGTCTAAATAATTTACAGGTATTTTATCTGAATTTGTCTTTTTGTTTAATTGTGGTATTTTTTGCTGTTCTGAAGCTTTTACTTTCATAAGATAATCAGTCTTGTAGAAATTATTCGGGTTTGGGGTGACTCCAGTCCCTTGATGTAGGGAGTCTGGCTTTTCCAGCCTACCATTCCAGAAGAGGGCTAGAGAGATGCTGAAGGAGACAGTCTCTGTGTGGGGTGCCCAGAACTATCAGGAATAGGAAGAAACAGTGATTCTTAAATCTGTTGCTTGGAACCCTGCAGGTTCAGTGTCTGGAGAGAATGAGAAAAAAGAGGCTGGTACACCCGAGACCAGCTAAAGCACTGTTGGCAGGGGTCCTTCCAAAGCTGCCCCTGTGGGTTTTGTGTAGTCCAAGTAGAAATCGTTGGAGATAGTGATGGGAGCCACACTGCAGCCTTGGGTCAAGGTGGTGACAGAGCAAGTGGGATGTGACCAATGGGATGAGGAATGGGAGCACGGAAGCAACAGAGGCTTTCTAAGAGGTTGGGTGTCTTTGACCCCATACCAGAGACCAGGTATGTAGCAACATCCTGTTGCTGGTGGTTGGTGATGCCGTCTTAAATACGACTGTCGTGTTTTCTGTTTCATTACAGGATGTATTAACTCCTTGTTAGAAAGTGGAGATGGGAAGGACTAAGCAAAGATAACAGGTTTTTCAGGGACCCTGAAACACTATCTTCAGCAAACAAGTCCAGAGCAGACCTCTTCCCCTGAGAGTTTATTAGTAGAGTTTTAGAGAGAATGAGGAATTTGGATTTTGTGGAAATTATTGCAGAGGCCTATACGATATGATCTAGGCCAGTGGTGTTTCAAACTTTTTTTTTAAACAATGAAACCATTGGGGGGAAAAAGTTCTCACTGGTTCCCTGGTCTCTGAGGGCAGTTACAGAGCCACCTTTTTTTTTTTTTTTTTTTGGAGACAGAATTTTGCTCTTGTTGCCCAGGCTGGAATGCAATGGCATGATCTCCGCTCACCGCAACCTCCGGCTCCAGAGTTCAAGCGATTCTTCTGCCTCAGTCTCCCGAGTAGCTGGGATTACTGGCATGCGCCACCATGCCCAGCTAATTTTGTATATTTAGTAGAGATGGAGTTTCTCCATATTGATTAGGCTGGTCTCAAACTCCTGAACTCAGGTGATGTACCTGCTTCGGCGTCCCAAAGTGCTGGGATTACAGGTGTGAGCCGAGCCACCGTGCTCAGCCCAAGAGCCTTCTTAGTCTTCCTGTGCTCACAATTGGGCCTCTGAGGAGTCTTCAGCATCTTCAGAACTGCTGTCCTGGTCTTCCCAGTGGCCATTGTGGATCTGTTTCAAGTTGAATCTGCCCTTGACATCGAAAATGAGTGAACATTTGACCATTTTATGTTACCTGACTAATTAGAGAGGGCAGATGGGAAGGTGAGAATCCAGGAAGGAAACCCAGAATGGCTTTGCTGAGGTAAAGGGGGATCCGTTTCAAATGAGGAAAGCACCTTTGAAGCAGGGATAATGATGAGAACTGGGCACTTGTAGGGATTCTGCGACTGGGGGTTGGTGACTGCAGAAACTTGCAGGATGGCTTAGGGCTGTAGGGCAGCAGCGAAGCAAGGGATCCAGGCCAAGGGGCTGCCGGGAGCCACATGAGGAGCTTTATTGTGAACTTTCTTTAAAACCCACCTGCAAAGATTTTCCTTTTGGAATTCCACTCAGATACCATGCGCTGTTTTCACCTCAACCTTTGGTACTGTTACCACCATGATTTGTCCTAGGGGATAACACCTTAAAAATCCCAGTCCAAGTGCCATAAGAGACACCTTTCTCTAGGCCTCAACACAGTTTCTTTCTTTTCTTTTCTTTTTTTGTGACATAGTCTTGCTCTGTTGCCAGGCTTGAGTGCAGTGGCATGATCTCAGCTCACTACAACCTCCACCTCCCAGTTCAAGCAGTTCCCCTGCCTCAGCCTCCAGAGTAACTGGGAATGCAGGTGCATGCCAACATGCCCAGCTAATTTTTTGTATTTTAGTAGAGGTGGGGTTTCACCATGTTGGCCAGGATGGTCTCTGTCTCCTGATCTCATGATCTGCCCACCTGGGCCTCCCAAAGTGCTGGGATTATAGGTGTGAGCCACTGTGCCCGGCCGTCAACAAGGTTTCTTTTGAAGACTGCTCTTCTCCTTCAATTTTATTTACAAGTGAGGGAAGTGAGCAGTAAAGTTACAGCTTCTCACAACTAGTGGGAACAGTAGTTAAGGCTAGGAAACCTGGGTCATCCTATTGGCTGTGCGCCCTGAATAGGAAGAATGCCTTCTAATACCTAAGCATTAGATATTATGTGATGCCTCCTGTACTGCGAACCAGGAGGGTCAGCCGTAAGGGGAGTAAGGCCTTATTGAAAAGGGCAGATGCCTGAGGCCCCCTCTGCTGGTGGACACCTGAGGCCCAGGATTCTGACTGTAGCACTAAATGCCTTATTTTACGTTTCTTTTTTGTTCATGTTATGAATTACTAGTACATAAATCACTGTGGTCGTGGTTTAGTGTTAGTAAGATTCCTCATTTGTATTAAATGAAAATCAAGTTGTTTGCATAGGGACTGTAGTTGGAGTTTTCCATTTCCATGTGTATGCAGTCCCAGTTAGAGCTCCTTCTCTAAGGAAACTGAAGCTTAAGTAAGACACTTACAGCCTGGGTTTATGACTGGAGTCTTAATTGGTTTTCTGCTGCTTTAGCAGACTATGAGACTGGATAATGAACAGAAACGTGTTTCTCTTGGTTTTGGAGGTTGGGGGAGTCTAAGAATATGACGATGGTATCTAGTGAGGGCTCTTGGGCTCTAACATCTTGTGATGGAAGACGAAGGGCAAGTGAGTGTGTCAGAGAAAGGAAAGAGAACTTGTCCTTTTTATCTTGAGCCTACTCTCATGATAAAGGTATCACCTATTAAAGGTCCCACCTCACAGTGCTGTTAAAATGACAATTAAATTTCAACATCAGCTTTGGAGGGGACATATGAAAACATATTAGCTGGCAACACTGGAGAAGTTGGGGATTAGAACATCAGAATGTGGCAGGATATGGTGGCTCATGCCTGTAATTTCAGCACTTTGGGAGGCTGAGGTGGGCAGATCACCTGAGATCAGGAGGTTGAGACCAGCCTGGCCAATATGGCAAAATTCCATCTCTACCAAAAATACAAAAATTAGGTGGGCATGGTGATACATATCTGTAGTCCCAGCTATTCAGGAGGCTGACTCAGGAGAATTGCTTGAACCCAGGAGGCGGAGGTTGCAGTGAGCTGAGATCTCACCATTGCACTCCAGCCTGGGTGACAGAGCAGGATGCTGTCTTAGAAAAAAAAACCAGAATGAAGAAATCTGAAATGAATTTAGAAGTTTTAAACAGTTCCTTAACAACAAAAAATAACAGCTTTTAAATCAAAATATGTAATGTAGGAAATGTCTGAATTCAGTGAAAATTAGTGACCTTTAAATAGCTTTTCCTGGTTACCGTTAGCAGCAAAAATAGCCCCTTGAGTCCAAGCTAGACTTGAATTCCGATTCTTCCAGAGTTTGTGCCGTGAAGTCAGATGAGGGTAACAGGACCTAGCACGAGATACTCTTAGCTCTCTTATTATGCTTTCTAAGTAATGTGATTAGAGTTTAGAATGAAACTTTCAGAAATGTTAAGTATTTCTTAACTTTAACTTCGGCGAGGTGGTGTGTGTGTGTGGTTTTTTTTCATTATGATGATGATTTTACTGTTCTTGACAGTAGACTTTTAACTCGGTTTCTAACAAATGTTCCCAGTTATAGAAAGTTGCAAGCATTTGCTCATAGGTTTAAAAATATAATTGTGACCTGTCAAAATTCTGAGGAAAAGCCAGGCATGGTGGCTCATGCCTGTAATCCCAGCACTTTGGGAGGCCGAGGTGGGTGCATCACCTGAAGTCAGGAGCTCGAGACCAGCCTGGCTAACAGGATGAATCCTCGTCTCTTCTAAAAATACAAAAACTCGCCAGGGGTCATGGTGTGTGCCTGTATTCCAGCTCCTTGGAAGGCTGAGGCAGGAGAATCGCTTGAACCTGGGAGGTGGAGGTTACAGTGAGCTGAGAACGTGCCATTGCACTCCAGCCTGGGTGATGAGAGCGAAACTCCATCTCAAAAAACAACAGCAAACAAAATTCTGAGGAAAGAAGACAGCTAGAGACACACCGGTGGGCACACATGGTGCTTTTTGGGGCTCCTTAAGTCAGTCTGTGGAGTTCTGGGGAAGAAGGTCAGAGTGATGGCTTTGCGAGAGCTCTGATGACTGTGTGCCACTACTTCAGATGATGACATCAGATTGTTTTGTATTTTTCTTAGCTGGCTTTCCCATGGGCTATGCAGCAGCAGCTCCTGCCTATTCTCCTAACATGTATCCTGGAGCGAATCCTACCTTCCAAGCAGGTATGTGCTGGGTGATAAGATGCTTTGTACATACAGCTGGGAGAGAGGTGAAGGGGTGGATTTTGCGAAGGGTGGGTATAGAAGTAGGACTTGGTTGAGTCCATTTCTCAAGTTTATTAAATTAGCTTGTTGATAAGTGTAACATAAGCTTAATTCTTACTGCACTAAAGCTTTGTATACTGTGTTTCTCATGGCCTCCCACAAGACAGATCTGTAATCACTAGGTTGTTACAGTTAACTCTGCCAGAACATCTGTTCATGGAATAGTATCACCTATTAGAAACTGAAGGCCGTCTTGCCATGGTAACAGGTAGAATTTCTATGTTAATGTTTTTAGAGATAATTTTTGATTTCTCTAGTCTACTTTAGCACTTTGATTATATAGTTTTTACGAAGTATTATTTTCCATGTAAGTGTAGATGAATATTTTTAGATTTTGGAAATCACTATTGATATTGAAAGTGGAATTGGCTTGGGTCTGAAACTTGAGGACATTGGTTATTTAGTGGGATTTCCTCCTGGAAGCCTGCACTCTCTGGTGTTGGTTCCTTTTGGACTTCATTTGCCTTTCTGCCGCAGCAGTGGTGGTGCACATTCTGACCTGAGGCTGTGGTTTGGCCTTACTCCTGGGATCGCTGTGGCAGCTTTGTCCCTCAACACTAGCTTTACACAGTTAGCTTTGACAGAGGAGGAGGCAACCACAGTGTCCTTTCCCCAAATGCTCCCAGTTTTGTTAATCATAAAATGTCCTTGTATCCATCTCTTCCTTTCCATTTCCACTATGACCACCCTTGTTCAGCCCTTAATTCACACCCAGAGAAAATCTTTCTTGACTTGGTCTTCTTGCTGCCAAGCTTTCTCTCCCCGGGTGAATGTTCCTTTCCATTTAAACCAGAGCAATGCTCCCAGATGAATTTTTTCTCAGTGGTGGGTCTTACAGACACAGTTATGCCAAGACTCTCGACTTTCAGTCCCTAGCTATTTGCCACACTGGCCTATTTTTTCCCTTCAGAGTGGTTTTTCTTTTGTGTTTTGCCTTGGAAGAACGTGGCATGTATGTCATAGTCTGTATCAGTAGTTCATTCCTTTTTTTATTGTTAGGTAGTATTTTGTTGTATGGAAATAAATAAGTTTCCTTATCATTTTGCCATGTGATGAACATTTGGGTTATTTGCCGTTATGGGCTATTAGAAATAAATGCTATCAATATTTATATGCAAATTATCGTGTGAACATATGCTTTCATTTCTCTTGAATAAATACAGAGGATTTGAGTAGCTGGCTGTTACGGCAGGTGTATGTTTTAACTTTGTGAGAAACTGCCAAACCGTCTTGTAAGTGGCAGTACCATTTTACATTCCCACCAGCAGTATTTGTGAGTTGCAGTTTCTCCACGTCCTTAATTAACAACTCTTGGTGTGGTCAATCTTTTTAATTCTAGCCATTCTAGTAAATGTGTAGCAGTAGTTTTAACTTGAACTTCTGTAGTGACTGATGTTGAACATTTTTTCATGTGCGTATTTGCCTTCTGTATGTCTTCGGTGAAGAATTTGTATACAGCTTTTACTGGATATCAGTTGTTGTTTTCTTATCTTGAATTTTGAGAGTTCTTATCAGATATATGCGTGTTTTCTCCCAGTCTGTGGCTTTTTCATTCTTTTAACAGCGTCTTTCAAAGAAGAGAGGTTTTTAAAGTTTGATGAGGTTTTTTTTTGTTTTTTTTTTTTTGTTTTTTTTTTTTTTTTGAGACGGAGTTTCGCTCTTGTTACCCAGGCTGGAGTGCAATGGCGCGATCTCGGCTCACCGCAACCTCCACCTCCTGGGTTCAGGCAATTCTCCTGCCTCAGCTTCCTGAGTAGCTGGGATTACAGGCACGCGCCACCACGCCCAGCTAGTTTTTTGTATTTTTAGTAGAGACGGGGTTTCACCATGTTGACCAGGATGGTCTTGATCTCTCGACCTCGTGATCCACCCGCCTCGGCCTCCCAAAGTGCTGGGATTACAGGCTTGAGCCACCGCGCCCGGCCTTGATGAGGTTTTTAGTTGTTTTATGGATCATGCTTTTGATACCATACCTAAGAAAGCTGTGTAACCTAACTTCACAAAGATTTCTTTCTTTTTTTTATTTGCAGAAGTTTTACATTTATGTCTGTGACCCATTTGGAGTTAATTTTTGTGTATGGTGGTAGGAATGGATTGAAGTTTATATCTTTGGCATATTTGTTAATGTGACATGTGATGAGCTGCTGTAGACTACCATAATATAAGTTACTGTTCTAGGATTTTCAGTGGTAGCCCACTTTTACTCATTTCTTCACGTAGCAAAAATCAGTGTGAAAATGTACCTAAAACTTTCAACTTTTTTATTTTACAAGAAAAACCTCAAGTTTATTTCAGACTGACTGAGCTGTTCTTGGCAGCCCAGCAGAGACAGGGTGGTGTTTGGAGCCCGAGTGCTGCTGAAAACTTCCCCTGTTGGGCGCCTCCAGGGGCCACCCTGTGGAACGTGTGCCAGCCATCTCATTACTTTTTGAGACAGGGTCTTGCTCTGTTGCCCAGGCTGCAGTGCAGTAGCATGATCATGTCTCACTGCAGCCTCGACTTTCGAAACTCAAGCAGTGCTCCCACCTCAGCCTCCTGAGTAGCTAGGACTAGAGGTGCAACCATACCTGGCTAATTTTTTATTTTTGTAGAGCTGGATCTTTTTTTGTAGAGTGTTGCCTAGGCTGGTCCCAAGCTTCCGGGCTCAATTGGTTCCTGCTTCAGCCTCTCACAGTGCTGGGATTAGAGCTGTGAACTACCATGCCCAGTTTGTCACCCATCTTCTCGAACATCTCTCCTTTCTCATAGGGAGATAAGGCTTGTCTTGTCTCTTTTCCAAGACTGCTCTCAAACTGTTTTGTGATCCAGAAGCTGGGACAGGCAGGTAGCAACTACAGCTGCCCAAATGGCCTTCCATGTTGAGGGGCATCCACTGATAAGTGCCAGGCTGTTGTTGGCTGCCAGACTGCTGGCGTACCAGTGCAGATCTTTTGGTCTTGTAGGAGAAGCTGTGAAATTGGTGAATGAAAAAATATAAGGCAGCCAGACATGGTGTTTCATGCCCGTAATCCCAGCACTTTGGGATGCCAAGGCGGGCAGATCACTTGAGGCCAGGAGTTCAGGACCAGCCTGGCCAATAGGGTAAGACCATGTCTCTACTAAAAATACAAAAATTAGCTGGGTGTGCTGGTGCACACCTGTAGTCTCAGCTACTTGGAAAGCTGAGGCAGGAGAATAGCTTGAACCTGGGAGGGAGAGGTTGTAGTGAGCTGAGATCGCATCACCGTACTCCAGCCTGGACCACTGCACTCCAGCTTGGGTTACAGAATGATACTCCGTCTCAAAAAAAAAAAGAAGAAGAAGAAAAAGAAAGTTCTGCTGATGTCTCATTAAGTGCTGTTGGCCATCTAGCCTGAGTCTGGATCACAGATGTGTGCCCATCTCTTTCTGGAATCTTCTCTGTTTTTTTGTCTTCAATGTTTGTTTTTAAGACAGGGGTCTTGTGGTTTCACCTGGGGTGAAGTCCAGCGGTACAGTTACAGCCTTTTTCCCCTGAGTTCAAGGGATTTTCCCACCACAGCTTCCCAAAGTGTTGGGATTACAGGCATAAATCACTACACCCAGCCTCATGTTTTGAAAATTTTAGCTCCGTTTTCAGTGAGCCTTTCCCTTTTTCTAATGAGCAAGCCAAAATTATCACTATAAAAATTTGAAAGATAAGTTTTTCTCTTTTTCTGCGGCTTGCGCTCTCACACTCTCTTGCACACACGCTCTCGTGTGTGCTCACTTGCTCTGTGTGTGTTAGTGTTAGTGTTAGTGTTGTTGCTTAGGCTGGAGTGCAGTGGCATGAACTTGGCTTACTGCCAAGCAGTCCTCTCCTGCCTTTGCTTCCCAAGTAGCTGGAACTATTGGCACAAGTCAGCACACCTAGATAATTTTTATAAATTTTTTTATCCAGATGGGGTCTCACTCTATTCCCTGGTCTCAAATTCCTGGGCACAAGCAATCCTCTCACCTTGACCTCCCAAAGTGTTGGGATTACAGGCGTGAGCCACTGCACATGGTTCCTGCTGTGTTCTTTTTTTTTTTTTTTTTTTTTTTTTTTTTTTTGAGACGGAGTTTCGCTCTTGTTACCTAGGCTGGAGTGCAATGGCGCGATCTCGGCTCACCGCAACCTCCGCCTCCTGGGTTCAGGCAATTCTCCTGCCTCAGCCTCCTGAGTAGCTGGGATTACAGGCACGTGCCACCATGCCCAGCTAATTTTTTGTATTTTTAGTAGAGACGGGGTTTTACCACGTTGACCAGGATGGTCTTGATCTCTCGACCTCGTGATCCACCCGCCTCGGCCTCCCAAAGTGCTGGGATTACAGGCTTGAGCCACCGCGCCCGGCCTCCTGCTGTGTTCTTGATCTGCCGTTGGGTCCTCTTGCCATCCAGTTTATACTCAATGCTGACCTGTGATTCTGATGCTGTATATGTGGAGTTTAGCTTCCAGAGCACTTTTGTAATCCAAATGCCACATTTTTCTTAGCCCTCTTCCAATTGTGACATAAGAGGATTCTGAGAACCTTGTGATGAGGTGTTGTCTTTTGCTGAAGAATCCTATTTCTTGAGAGTATGGAAATGGAGACAGTGTCATTCATTTTGTCTTCCTGAACAAGGCTGTGTATGCGCACAGCAAGAGTGGTGATATGGTTTGGCTGTGTCCCCACCCAAATCTCATCTTGAATTATAGCTCCCATAATCCCCACTTATTGTGGGAGGGACCTGGTACGAGGTAATTGAATCATGGGGGCAGATTTTTCCCTATGTTGTTCCTGTGATAGTAAGTCTCACAAGATCTGATGGTTTTATAAAGGGCCGTTTTCCTGCACATGCTCTTTTGCCTGCTGCCACATAAGAGGTGCCTTTGCCCCTTTGCCTTCTACTATGATTGTGAGACCTCTCCAGCCATGTGG